TCTGGCCCCACACCGTGCTCACCAGCCCAGAGTTACTTTGCCAGGAAGAGGAGTACCACGATAGCTGGCAGTAGAAATTAGTAAGGACTCTCTTTGCTCAACTTGGTGAGGCTGAGGGCAGCTAGAGAACCAGTGGAGCCAGCACACGGACTCGCTCACTGGTGAGCACTCACCTGGTCCCTGGTAGAGGGAGTGGCTGTGTGAGCGGGGCCCCAGGAGCCTCTAGGAAGGACTGAACTGAGCGCCTTTGGTGCGGGAGCTGGAGGTTTTGGGACCATTGTTCCCCTGGTGTGGAGCTTGCACACGAGTAGTGTACAGCAGGGTGCCATTTTTTCAGGGCTGGGCCCTCCCACAGAGGGTCAGGTCCGGGACTCACTGGTCTGATGGAACTGGCGCAGGAGTGCGTGTGTGCATTCGTGCGCATGCGGCCTTGGATCCCGACCCTCTGCACTGCTTGTGCTGCGTAGCCAGGGAAACGCCTGGCAGGCCCGCTTCGCTCCAACAGGCTGTTCCTTGAGACGCAGGAGTGCGTGAGCCTCCTTGGGTCCCCACTGTCCGCACTGCGCATGCGGAGTTGCCAGGCTGGCGATTGGCTGTCGGGCTGCTCCGCCTGATCTGCGAGCAGCTGATTGAAACAGGCTGAGACTGGGAGTTTTCCTGGGAGGGTAGGGCCATGAACTGTGTGCCTGTGTGATCCGGCCAGGGCTTTCCTGGCAAGTCTGTGCAGGTTGCTGTTGCAGGAGTGCATGCTGCTCTGACTTAGTGGGGGCCACTGACCACATCCTGTGGTGCCTTGGGGGCCTGCCCCGTCCACCTAGAGCTGTGTTGCCAGGGGCACCCTGAGCCCCTGGTGCCTGGCCCCCACCTCCGCAGGCTACAGAGGGTATTTTGCAGCAGCAGACAGTCCGCAACAACCTGTGAGGATTTTGTGGGGTGAGCACAGTTCCAGAGCACACAACAGCTAATTGCGGGAAGCTCACTGCAAGCCTGAGAGGGAGGGAGGCTGGCACATGACACACTGAGCCCTTCCCCCCAACAGCTGGTGCTGAGTCGCACAGAGTCTCTCTACTGCTGAGCAAGTGGTCTGCAGATTAAAGTGGGTGGAGAGACCTCCTTTTTTTTTTTCTAGGTGATCTATCTAATACATCGAAGCAATCACTGAGCGACAGCCAGAATAAAGAAACAAAGAAATTTGTCCCAAGTAAAACATCACAAGAGACCTCTAGAAATGGAACTAAATGAAACAGAGGTATCCAACATTTCAGAGACAGAGTTTAGAACACTGATAAGAATGTTTAAGGGGGCTGGACGAGTGGCACCTTGGTTAAGAGTTGGCTTGGGATGCTGGCTCTGAGCAGCAGGGCCCCAGTTCTGATCCCACATGAGGGCCAGTGATGCAGCGCCTTCTACAGCTAAGATGGTGAACAACAGCTCAACCTGGAGCTGGGCTGCTGTGAGTCGCCAGCGATGGCATAGGCTGCAGTGGGGCTGGCCGGCAGCTGGTGTGCGCTTTCATGAGCTGTCATGAGCCGCCATGAGTGGCCATCCAATGGCCAGCGAGTGACTGCCTCACCCGGGAAGAATGCAATGATAATACCAACATAGGCCAGTGAAGCGACATCCTCCACAACTGCACTGAAGAACAAAAGGACAGCAACTTGTCTGTTCCCCTTCCCTGATTCCCCAATGCTGTTCCCTTCCCCCAATTCCCCAATAAAAATCTTTTTTAAAAAAGAAAAAAGAATGTTTAAGGAACTTAATGAGGACATAAAGAAGGACAGAGAAATCATAAAAAACAACCAGTTAGAACTAAAGAATACAATAACTGAAATGAAGAACATACTTGAAGAAGTCACCAGTAGATTAGATGAAGTAGAGGATTGGATCAGAGATTTAGAAGACAAAATAGCAGAAATCACCCAGTTGGAACAACAAAAAGAAAACAGAATAGAAAACAATGAAAATAGTTTAAGAGACCTGTGGGACAACATCAAGCGCAACAACATTCACATCATACGAATACCAGAAGGAGAAGAGAAGAAGCAAGGGATCAAGAATGTATCTGAAGAAATGATGACTGAAAACTTCCCTACCCTGGTGAAGGAAATTGACATACAAGCCCAGGAAGTGCAAAGCGTTCCAAACAAGCTGAACCCAAACAGGTCCACACCAAG